AGTAGAATGTTGTTCTCTTCAGGGCACATTCTAATTTTTATTCTTTTGGTGCAGAACTGTCTATTCAGTTTGTTGGGTAGAGACAACAGCAGAGCATTATGATCAGAAAAAGAGGTATTGATGCTCGTTGGAAAGCCTACACAATGCCATTTTTCGTAGTCATAAAGCAGTGGTTGCCTGAGCCACGTGCAGTTGTTATGGAGTCGTTTTTAAAAAGTATTGAATTCATTATTCATTCATTGCAACTCAGTGGCAGTTTCTTGCACTCTTTCGATTAAGGCGACATGGAGACATGCGGTGGGCTACTAACTTTAGAATAACGGCTTTGAGTTGAAAAGGAATCTGACAGGCTGTACAAAGTCAGATCGGACGCCAGACAAATGAAATAACATTCGGTAGAGTTTGTGCTGCCGTGGAAAACAGTTTTCGTAGGGCCCGCCAAAAAACAAGCGGTTGCTTTGAAAATGTCTGACCGCTCAGTTACACAAATTTTGAGGTCATTTTCCTAAAGATTGATTAGAATAATAATCTGTTTCATTTAGTTAATTATCCATACAGATAATCACGACAGATCCTCTCCATGTTGACCTAATAAAATAAAAGCATGAAACTGCTTCTGAGTTGCAATAACTGAATCATAACTTTTTTTAAACGACTCAATAACTGTTCAGTCAGTCAATTTGAAAACCCTCTCATAACAACACGTAATAATTTTTTCTCTGTTATAATTATATCGCATATTTTTTATTTGAAGTGCTTCAACGTTGCCTTTTGACTTTAGTAAGCACTTCAAATAAAAAATGTGCAGTTTAATTATAATGAACAATAACAACCGCACATAGATCATACGACCACTGCTCTATGACTTCAAAAAATGGCATCGTATAGGCTTTCCAACGAGCATACTCCACCACCCTGAGACGGTCTGTCACTAAACAGTGCAATGAAGAAAATAGATCGGTTTTTTTGCCGCACCCTGTATATTCAAAGCTTAGTACCTACTTAAACAAAATAATGTAAATTAGTATTGTATATAAAAACAGTTAAAATAAAATGAAATGCTGATCTTCCTCTTACATTCAAACTTAACGAAATGTAAAGTTTAATTTGGTGCAAATACCTGCTTCTATGTAATCCAAATTGTTGCAAAGTTCGACTTCATGAAGTCGAAACTACTATCCCCTCACATGAGCCTTAGTTGTAGTTTACTAGGTTAGCTGTAGTTACTAGTAGTTGTGTGACTTTGCAGCAATTTCGATTACATATAAGCAGTTATTGCACCAATTTATATTTTCAACGTAATCCGGAGGCTAACTTCAAAAATGAAATGGAAAGATTGTCATCTTTTTTGACTTGTAATAAATCCTGTATAGTATCGGATGTCAGGTCACTAGTTGAGGCCATTTAAAATAATAAATATCAATTTATTACAAATGAAAAGGCTTTAAAGGATAACACAAGCTGTGATAACTCGCTAAGGAAAAACGTGATTATAAGCTCATCAAAAACAATGGCTTGTTGGTGTCTCCAGATAGTTCCGATGATTGTCGAGGGAGCAGCCCGAGCTGCGGGGCTACCTTCAGAGCTGACAATTTTGTATCATTAAACAAAATGGCGAGGGCCACTAAGTGTGGCCTTCTCAATCTATTGGGAAGGAAAAGAGAACAATAAATACGACCCCAAAGGGTTAATTTTTTATCAGGAAAACTTTGAAGACTGCAACATTAAAGCTTAATTCACTACGAAAAAATTCCAGAACTATTCAAATCCACACATAAAAATTGGGAATAAAATTTTTCTATCAACTACCCTAGTATTTAAAATTCCTAGTTTTAAAGCTAAAAAACCGTTTATAACGTTAAACTCTGAATATACTTTAATTTACACCCCTGCCCCTTGCTACGTACTATATTCTGGTGCTCACTAGACTGTTTATTTTTAATTTGTGATCTCTTCACGTGACCCACCACTATTGCTCCTGCAACGTTACTCACGATTTATAGTTATATATTTATATTTATAGTTATAGTGGGTCACGATTTATAGTTTGGGAACTGCTGACCTAACCTAATCCAACTGCACCTTTCTCTAAGAGGTGTACCGGTCTCCTATAATGGAAAAGCACCAAACTTATTTCTTGAGCTTATCAAATTATCCATAGCTACCTTGGTATTGGTTATACAATGGACTTTAGATCAAAACTCTCTAAACAAATGTTTTCCACACATCACCTTAATATTAAGGATCAGTGTCGGATTTAGGTTATTTCTGTCATAACCTTTTAAGAAAAATATTTTAAAACCTTTTTTTTATTATTCAAGGTAGGAGTAAATTCATAACCTGGAGTAAGATTAATTCTATTAAATACTTAAAAACACAAAGGAAAGCTTCTACGATCACTCTAAATAAAATTATTGTGAGTTTCAGGGTAGAACTGTTATTGTTGCAGCTGCAGGAATTTACATTCCCCAATGTTGGGGGGGGGGGGTTTGTGGAAGCTCTAATGATTTCACGAACATTCTTATTTCTTACTGATATAATCTGCGCTCTTGCTCCCATTGCAAGAGAATAAATAAAGTAAGTTTTTAAGGCACTTGCCAAGGCTCATACCATCCACATTATTCAGTAATGACTAAAGGAGTTCATTCTAAAAGCTAGGCTCTTTCTGGCTAATCACACTTGGAAATTTCGAAATAATGGTTTGATTTATATTTACATTTTTTAAATCTCATGAAAATGTTGAAACAATATGGTGGGGAGCTTTTCTTATATATTTGCCCCAAATGTTTTAGCTTCTTTAAACAGTTAACTTAATGTTTAGTGGCTTAACTAACCTAACTTAGCAGCTAATATTCTTTCAAATTAAAATATTTCCAAGTCATATGCTTTATGTATTGCCTAGCTAATTCAAGAGGATATATTTCTATTATTTTTCAAATTGTTAACCTCTTTTGTAATGATTGGTAGATTGGTCTCTAGGTAGGGACTGGGACTTTCAAATTAAAAACAACTTTTATTAATGAACAATCAGTCTTATTAATTGAGCTAATATGAGTACAAAATAAGTATAAAGTATAAACTACCGGTATATGCCGATTGTATGGATACATTTGGATAAAAACTCAAACCAGATACAAAACTACACAAACTATTTGTAAAAAAGTAGAAAACTCACAAAAACATTGTCCTTGTCGCACATGACGATTTAGTTAATTTAACTTTGTCAATAATCCAATCAAAAAATGACGAAGGCAAAATACAAAGTTGGCAACTTCATTTAAAATTGGGACAGTTAATTTTAACTGTTATGGAAACATATGCAGTAAAAAGGGAAACTGTCTGTTTGGATGAACAGCATTAGTCAAGAAGACAGGTAGATGTACAATCTGTCAAATCTAGACTTCATTATCATGTTGAACCACTGACTAAAGAAGAGGTACAATATGCAGTTAGTGAGTTAACGTTAAGACCCTACAAATTACAAAGTACAAGGCAAAAATTAAACAACAGCAGAAATAATAGAGGATAGAAATGGCAGAGAAGCTGTGGGGTTTAATTTAAAAAATATGGGAACAAGAAGAAACACCAACTGAGTGGCAGGAAGCAGTCGTTATCCCCATACATAAAAAAGTAGAAGAAGAATATCATGGTAATTACGGAGGAATCTCACTTCTTAGTATTTCATATTAAGTCATTCACAAATTATCCTAAATTGGCTAGATCACTACTGTACTAAAATGAAATAATTAGGGAACATCAGGTGGGTTTTATGAAGGGTAGAGCAATAAATCAACATTTATTAAAAGAAATAATAGTCAAATAATGAGAGTATAATAACAAATTTTGTTCACTTTTTATCGACTTTCAAAAAGCATTTGATAGCCTTGTATCATTAATAAAAATGAGTATTACAGGATCCAAATGTCAAACAAGGAGATGGGATGTCACTTATTGTGTTTATTATCACAATTGCGAAGTAGGAACCAGGATAAACATATTAGCCTTTGCAGATGATGTTGTAATTGCAGAAAAACTAGAAGATCTCTAGAATCTCAAGACTTTAACCGAAATATTTATGAGAGGCGGAAAAAGTAGGTTTAAAATTAATGATTGTAAAACTAAGTACATGCACTTTGCAAAGTCAAGAGTTTTAAATACCTAAGAGTAAATAATATCAAATCAAAATACTGATAAACTGGAGATCCAAAGCCGAATAAATTCTTCCATGTGTGCAATAGATTACTGTAATCCAGATCCGTGTCTCACAAAACAAAAATCTGCCCAATTCTCCTTTACAGATCAGAAACATGGCAAATAAATAATAAAGATGAACAGAAACTAATTGTATTTGAAAATAAAATACTAAGGAAAATTTATGGACCAATATGTGAATGAAGATGACTCAAAATGGAAATAAGACAATTTTACGACAGCACACATATAATTGGGGAAATTAAGTGCCGAAGAATCAGATGGGCAGGACACATATTGAGAAGAGGCGAAGAATGCAGACTGAGAAGAGTTTTAGAGGGTAATACGCTTGGAAGACGACCTTGAGGAAGAACAAAACAGATATGGTGGAAAAAAGTGAAAGTAGACATGTAGAGAATCGGAGCAGTAGGGCAAGATGCAGAGGACCGGATATTGGATAACATGGCGAAGATTTTTTGATGTGGCGATAGTTAAGTAAGTATGAAAACACATCCAATTGAATAAGACTACTTGATACAACATAGTAGTAATGTTAACTTAACATATAAGTTAAATAACAATATAATTATTTATTTTACACTTGCAAATTGACCATAACACATAACTTAACTTATATAAGTTAAATAACAATATGATTAATCTTCATAAAGAAACTGTTAACATTGGTCTCAATAAAAATTAAAAATTCATCAATATGTTATTAAAAATTAATAAAATATTGGTGAAGTTTTTATTTTAAATTTTAACAATATGATTATTTTATAGTATCTGTGGTAAACATTTTTTAAGGCACTTGCAAATTTACCATAACAAATAACAACTGGCCAACCCTGTTTCGATTTGTAACAATATTAACGCACAATGAGAGTTTCATGATATAACCCGTTGTTTATTTTACAAAATGTTGTTTGCTATTGAGCATAATTCCTGTGACAGATAGTTTGAAGACATTTATATTGTGCCAATATTGTTACATTTCTAGTGGGACACAAATTATCAAGAATTTTTTTTTTTAACATAATACTTTACAATTAAAATAATGGGGTTGAATTATAAAACTACAAGTATGAAACTTTAGTACTTTCTGATTGAGTAAATTTCACTCCGTTATTCAATAAATAAATATACTTTATATTTATACAACTTTCGCCTTAATACTGTACATTTTAAAATCGAGGTTTACAATCACTAAAACCCACATTTAATTTTTAAATGTCCAAAACATATTTGAAAGAAAACATTATATTCCTACAAGTGAATGGTTATTAGTTCATGATTTTTTACATCAAATTGCATTCTATTTTAATGAATATAAAGTTTTAATATTTTATGATAAGTAAGTCTATTACAAACTGACTTAAAACTTAGTATTTCAAAATTTTGATTTTGTTGCATACAGTATTACAATAAATTAACAAAATTGTCACCGCTTTACTGTATTATTTGTGTCCCAAATAGTTATTGTTACTTTTTACAACCAGTTTTCAAGTACATTTTGTTTTTAATGGACCAATTTAAGCTCTAAGCTAAACTACTTTAATAAACAAGTAAGATAAAAATATAAAAATAAATTTAACAAAATAAATTTACAAAATTAGGAACTTGTTTTCTTTGATACTTAATCATCAATCACACTAAAGCCCCTTGCCAGCTTCACCAATGGTAAGGCTAGTGAGAACTTGGCAACAGCATGGCAGAGCAAAGTAACACTAAGTGGTGGTTTCTCTTCCACCAACTAACACTCCCTGACTAAATGCGGGTAACTTACAAGAATCAGTTATTTCACTGGAGTAAAGTTTCTCCTGTCAAACACAAAATAACGAATGAAACAATATTGTAAACACTGAAACACAAAACAAATTTTTATTTAATACTGATAAATCACTTTTTAAGTCACAGTTGAGCTGAAGATGTCACTTTTATGTCACAGCTGAGCTGAAGATGTCGCAGTTGAGCTGAAGATATCTTTTCACAGTCACAGTTTTGCTAAAGATATCACTTTAAAGTCACATTCGAGCTGAAGATATCGCTAGATGTTGGTATTCTGGTTGATGGATTAATCATCTCTCGCTTGAACCTGTAGGCTGAAAACAAAATTGGATCAGTATTTAAATCCACTAAGAAGAAAAAATTTATAATAATAGGGATACCTTGTAGTTATTTTCCCTACTGTTCAATTACAAAGTGTAATTTAGTCCACGTGGATTGGTTTGTAAAACATCTAAGGGTCACCAAAATTTCTATCCCCCTGGAATTTTATTCTCTGTGCATAGTTGACGTCACTATGATGTAGTAACCTGAGCGCTCAAAAGATTGTTCGCAGGCTGAATTTTACCACCACAGATTTAGAATTCTAATGAAAATAGTCAGTCCATGATAAATTAGATTAGCAATAAAAACTGGAATTTTACCCCTGTCCAAATAACTAGCGTTTAGGCAAGTAACTAGCGTTTAGGCAATTAACTAGCGTTTAGGCAACTAACTAGCGTTTAGGCAACTGTAGATGTATGTCCCGGATTTTTACCCCCGTTATTTAACCGCTGGAATTTTATCCCCTGGCCAGATGGGCCAGAATCTAGCCCATATAAATGTCTATACATGATATAGAAATTATTAAGAATAATTAATTTTTCTTCTTTCAGTTTTAATTTAATAGTAAACATGTTATTATTAAGTAGCCTATCACAATTTATCTGTAATCCCAACTAAGTAAACAGGGTTTGTTGTTTAATTTTGATATTCAGAATTTGGGTTTGGGGCCAACTGTTGGTTAATATGTATGTATAATAAACTATGTATCTCATTTAAATGATAATTGGGGGAACAACTCCTAAACAATTTATTATACCACTGTGGAAAACAATTTATTTCCTTTCCGTTGTACAATAACACAATATGCAATTTTTTTTCTTCGGGCACAAACCATGAGCACTGAAGGTAATCAAAATACCTGTTAAAAATGTAGTAGTAGGTATCCGGTACAAAGTATTCGACCAATTGTTGTGTTTACTGCAAGTACACCCAAATGTTTGTATATACATATTAACCAACAGTTGGCCCCAAAAATCGAATCCCAAAACTTGGATAGCAAAATTAAAATCCAAAACCTGTTTATTTAGTTAAGGTTTAACAGGCTACTTAATAATAAAATGTTTACTATTAAATTAAAACTGAAAGAAAAAAAAATAATCATTCTCAACCAATGGACCCGCAAAACAGAACCACGACCAAGATGATGGGCGACCTACAGGGACCGGACCCAGGATGGACAACAGCAGCCGGACCAGGACCAACGCCACACCATCAGCAGCAGGGCCAACACAGGCTTGAGGAGGCAACGCCAGTCCCAAAGAAGAGGATTTAGGGGATGGACATATCTTGAAAATAATATCCTATAATGTATGTGGTCTGAAGAGTAAGGTCAGTGGAGAAAGTAGTAATTTTTTTAAATTAATTAATGAGTATGATGTAATTTTTTTTGTTAGAAACCTTTATAACGGAAGAAGATAGGGAATTTATTTCAAAGTTATTTTTTAATTACAGGTTATCGTTCCGTTTGCCGTTAGAACAGCAAATTTTGGTAGAGCTAAGGGAGGTTTAATTTCTTGCATAAATTTAGGATCTAAGTTTGTTAACAGTTTAAGTTTTAATGAAATCCACAATGTATCATGTTTAGAAGTGCATAGTAATATTAGTGATCATTTGTTTTTGCTGCCTATATATTTGGGTTTTAACGAGTGGGAGAACGATTTCAATAGTTTAAAAATTTTGTTAAGCGAAAATCATAATAAAAATATAATAGTTCTAGGAGATCTAAATGGAAGAATAAGCAATGAGCAGGAACTATTAGAGTTAGATTATCTAAGTGAGAATTTTTATGGGAAAAGAATGTCTAAAGACAATGTAATAAATACAAATGGGCGTAGATTGTTAAAATTATTTGAAGACACAGGACATATTGTTTTAAATGGGAGAACCCCGGGAGACTGTAAGGGAGAATACACGTTTATTAGTTCTGTAGGGATGTCAGTAATTGATTTAGCGGTAGTTCTAATAGGTGTTTTAAGTAAAGCTTATGACTTTAAAGTAATATCTCACGCAGGTTCTGATCACATGCCAATCGAATTAAGTGTGAAAATGTCGGAAGCAAGAGGTGAGGAAAGGTTAACGAACAACCTTAACTCACTTCCAAGGTTAAAATGGAGTGAACGAAATAAAAATATTTACAAACAGAATGTAGATAAAAAGGTTGCACACCTTCATATTACAAATGATAATGCGGATAGTATAGATAAGATAACGAGGTGTATTAAAGAGTCGGCCTTTGAAAATACAAGTAAAACAGGTGCAGTGTTTATAAAAAAACAACCATGGTTTGATAGGGAATGTTTCTCACTTAGAAATAGAGTCTTTAGTCTACTGAGATTGTTTAGAAAAACTAATTCATTAATAAACAAGCAGGCATATTTAGAGGCAAGCAGGAGGTATAATTCAATGTGTAAAAACAAAAAGATAGCTTTTCAAAATAATATTATAGATTGTATTAATCACGCTAAGGATGGGAAAACATTGTGGACTGCCATAAACAAATTTCGAGTATCGGAAAAAAATACGCTTGCAGGGATTGAACCTGAACAGTGGGTACAACATTTCCAAACTTTATTGAATCCTCCAATAATGTCGGGAACAATAAGTTATGCTGAGCCTTTTATAATGAATGAATTAGTGGATAGAGATTTTACTCGACAAGATTTGCAGTTAATTTTGACTAAAGTGCAAAATAATAAGGCTCCAGGGTATATGATGGCATCCCATATGAATTTTTCAAAAATGCGCCTCAAGCATTACTAAATACTATGTTAGATATATTTAATAGGATATTTCAATCAGATGTCGCACCAGGAAGTTTTAAAAAATCTATCATTTTTCCATTGCACAAGAAAGGTGACCGGAATTTAACTCAAAACTACAGGGGCCTATCTTTCATCAATTGTATTTCAAAATTATATACAAGCTTATTACATAATAGATTATGGGAATGGGTGAATAGTCAAGGAATTTTAACTGAGTTGCAAGCAGGTTTCCGTAAGGATTACTCCACTATTGATAATTTGTTTAATCTTACAAGTATGATAAAACTACGACTAGCTTCTAAGGGTAACAAATTGTATAGTTTCTTTATAGATTTTAGCGCTGCGTTTGATACAGTTGACAGAAACGCTCTATTCTATAAGTTATCGGCTCTGGGTTTATCAACGCGCATGCGCACAGCACTGCGAGCTTTGTATGACGGTACTGAATCAGGTGTGTGGTACAACGGTAACGTAACAGAATCCTTTGAAACTAAAGTAGGTCTGAGGCAAGGATGCGTGTGTTCACCTTTGTTATTTTGTTTATTTATAAATGATATGTCTAGTAGTATAAATGGTGGCTGTATTTTTGGGCGAAAGAAAGTAAACATTTTAATGTATGCAGACGATGTAGTTCTGCTAGCACCGACTGCCACAAGTTTACAGTTTATGATCAATAATCTAGAAAAGTATTGTGATACATGGAACTTACAACTAAATCTAAATAAGTCAAAAATTATTGTTTTTAGAAATGGAGGTAAGTTAAAGGAAAACGAAAAATGGACTTTTAAAAGAAGAGATATTGAAGTAGTGAACAGTTATAAATATTTAGGGGTAGAGTTAACTTCCAAGTTAACGTGGGAACATCAGATGAGCACAAAATCAAGAAGTGCAAAGTTAGCAATCAATAATATCTGGTATAAATTCTTTGTCAGTAGTAAAATTTCGTTGGAAAGAAAGTTTAGTTGCTTTAATGCGGTAGTTAAATCAATTCTGTGTTATGGCTGTCAGGTTTGGGGATATCAAAAGAATGATAAAATTGAAGGGGTTTTGAAAATGTTTATTAAGAAAATCTTTCAATTGCCTAATAATACACCTAATTATGCGCTATATTTAGAAACAGGAGCAGAATCAGTATATTTGTACACTTTACATAGTAATCTAAATTACTTAGTTCGAGTCTTATCCCTTGCTGAAGACCGGTTACCGCATATACTGGCGAAACAGGTAATTGAAAAGAATGTGTATTGGTGTGAAGAATGGCGGAAGCTAGGGCGCGCGCATGGCGTAGTGGTGGAAATGGATACTGATCCGGTAAGTATACAATCGGCATTATTAGGTGTCCTAGAATCAGTCAGAGAGGCAGAATATCGGGCGAATTTGGAAGCGGCTTTAGGATCGCGTTATCACCAAACATATGCGACCTTGAACTTGGAATTGGGTAACTCGTCCTATATCAATGCTAATTTATCTCTAAGGGCGATAAAATGGATTTACAAAGCACGAGTTGGAGTAATTTATCTAAACTACAAGCCTTGGATAGGTGATCAAAATTACGTGTGCAGTTTATGTAATTTAAGGGAAAACGAGGATGTATTTCATTATATCTGTAGGTGTCCAATCCTTGCAGGTGTAAGGAAACGTTTTCTTCAAAAAAAAAGAACTTACTAGGGAAGATTTACACTCATATTTAAATGGTAGGGACTGGCGAAGTCTAGGATGTTATTTAATTAATGCATGGAAATATAGATATGAGCTTGTGTCAGAATTTAATTTTGCATAAAAAAAAACACAAAAATACATTGTTTGCCATCCTAACGTGTTGCAGGGAATATGGAAAATAAGGAGAAAATAAAAATTTTTTGTATGAAAGCTGCCAGCCCAGCTGACAGTCCTTTGGGCTAATGCTGATATAGTGCAGTTAAACAAAACAAAATGATATTAAGGTAAAACACGATAGAATAAGTGTGATTCAAGGTTGTATGTAGATATTTTCTTTGTATATGGAAGAGTTATTTATGGAAAAATCTTATTATTTTGTAATGCATTGTTTTAATGAAAATAAAGCACTGGTTTCATTTCATTTCATTTCATTTAATCATTCTCAATTATTTCTAAATCTGGCCAGGGGATAAAATTCCGGGCCGCACATTTTGAGCTGACCTCGTGAAGGGGGTAAAAGTCCGGGGGTAAAATTTTGGCTCTAGGTTTTTTAATTTGATGTGTTCTGCTCAGATTAAATTCTCAACCATGAAAATATACATTTAAATACACCTTTAATCTATCCAACTGATGTTGTGCAAATAAAAATTTGCGGCTGGAATTTCGCCCCTGGTTTGTGACGTCAGTTTTGCCCAGGGCGTAAAATGCTAGGAGGATAAAAATCTGCTACCCCGTATCTAATTTTCAACATTTGACTTTGCTCACTCTGTATGATAACTGAATAAAGACAAATTTAGGCTAAGTTTATTTTAAGTTAATCTTAAACTACAGGTATGGTCTTGGTCTTCTATATGTAGACTATATTTTTTCATGTACAAATTTTATAAATAAATAACAAAATCAATATGATTCATGGTTAAATTAGTTTGAAAAAACTAAATTAGGTCCACTAAGGTTTCTAGCTTTTCTCTTTTCCCAAATTACTACAAAAGGACTTTGTTTATAAACAAAGCGTATAAGCAAATCTGAAATAACTTTTGCTTACCATAAATCAGTCTTGTTAAATTTATATTTGTTTAATTTTTATTTTATGGTTGGCGGCCTCTTATCAGACCTTATTTTAGAGAACTTAAGAAATAATTATCTGAACTGTTGATAAAACGTACTCAGTATACAGGGTAGAAAAAAGTCCCAAGACAGTTAAAAATTAAAAAAATTAAGATAGGGTCAAAACACTTGGTGCAAAGTTACTGGGCATTAAATAATTTTTAAACATTATTCAGTGATACGCACCTCCTCAGGGAGATGACTCGCTAAGAATCAGAAGAAATTCTTAAAAGTAAGCATAAGTTGATATGCAATCAAATTAAAGGGCTTCATTAGTAGTAGGTAATTTGACTTTGACTAAGTAGAATACAATCCCACAAATTAAAGCTCGAAAGAACAACTAAGTAAAAAATAGCAGTCGTTCAAAGATTCAAAATGGCAGATTCAAGGAATCTTTAAACCATTTTGGACTCAGTTAACTGACAGAGTTCAAATTTGCGGCATTATATTCTACTACTAAAAGCCTTTAATTTCAATGTACATATCCAGGGCCGGTTCTAGGAATTTTTCAGAGCTAAGCGAACACCCGAATCAGCGCCACTTAGGATTCCCCCCACCACCACTCTCCCCCAAACCAATAACATAACATAACCGTATTTGTGAATTTTTTCCCAATAATTTTGGGAAGAACTTTTTATAAGTTTAGGTTAGAAGAATACTTGCAATAAAAGACTGTTTATTATTCGCATAAATTTAAAATTTTTACACTTTTACTCATCATATAAACTTTAGCAAAACCAAGGCCACACTAAAAAAAAAACAGGCCGTAATCAAGGCCACACTCAAAAACAGGCCGTAATGCTCGTCAATCATGACGTCACGATAGAAGACGGCAATGACGTAATTAAGGTTATATTTTTGTTTTCCATGAAAAGATTAAAACAAGCAGCTGATCACAAACGGTAAACATTACATCATTGCCGTCCTCTATCGTGACTTCTTTGGGCTGTCTGGACTCGCCACCAGATGACTTAAACAAAAAATCTACTCATTGATTTGGCTTTTTTTTATCTTCCTCTTACAAATTTGCCTTACCCTTTTTATAATAAGTGCCAGACGTTTTTTTTTTCTGCCATTGTTTTCTTAGTATCGGCTCGCTAGATGTTTTACTCATTTATTCAGTTCTTCTTATTTAATGCGCTAAATATAAATTAAACTTAAAACACTCGTAATCATTCACTTATGAACAATCATGAATCATCAAAACAACGCCATTACGATACCGATACACGCTAATACGCTAATACACTAAAAGAGTGCAATACAACGTAGTGCTCTGCTCTAGGATAAGAGTCAGAAGGGAGGGAAGGGAGGGGGAAGTTTCTTGTTGTGACAATTGGTGCTGCGCGCTTGCTTATCTCATCTCGAGTATGAGTGAGTCGTGAAATGAAACCCACAGGCGCCGCGCTGTACGCTGCTGAGCGTCAGCTCACTATAAAATCGAAACTGCAAATGGCATCGAGTCCTTGAGTGGTATAGTGCTTTACAAATATACACATTTTATATACACAAACAGAATTAATGCCTTTATTGTGGTATACTTGAACTCTGAGCGAAAATAAACAAAATTACGTTGTTCACGTAAAAAAAAATGTTCCGTTGGCGACACGGCGCCACTTTTTCGTGGCGCCACATGCGGCCGCGTAGTTCGCGTATGGGTTAAACCGGCCCTGTACATATCAACCTTCGCTTACATTTAGATTTTCTTCTGACTCCTAGAACGTCCCCATGTTAGGTTAGCTTAGCGCTGAATAATGTGTTAAAATTATTTAAAAGTCCAGTAACTTTGTTCCAAGTTTTGTAGCTCTACCTTTATTATTTTTTGAAACATTTAAAGCTCCCCTGCGACTTTTTCCCACCCTGTACAGGGAGTAAAATGTTAAAGTGGACTAACACGGGTTTAAAGCTTAGCTTAAAACTTGTTTGATCCTCAAATGCAGTTAAAAATAAGAGACAAAAACAGGGTGTCCACAGAAAATTTGTCATTAATTTCCATGACTTTCCATGACTATCCATGACCATTTACCATTGATTTCCATGACTCACGAACTTTACTCGAAAATTATATATAACATACACACACGGATAATACTGCCTATACAAGTAATTTCACAAAAAATACTGAAATATTTATTAATGAGTAATAAATTTTTCAAAAAATATGGTATTCAAAATAAGGAAGGAAAGAAGAGAACCCAGCCTCCTCCGTCTCCATAGCTGGCGAAGTTCTCTCTCCACTTTCTTTTTTCCTTCCGATATAGGTACTTTTTATTATTGATTTTGGTGTTTGCTAAATTTAGTAAACACCAAAATCAATAAAAACCAATAATAAAAAGTTTAACATTTCAATATACACAACTTTTTGCAACAATATTCTACAAATAATAAATTCAATTTTATAAGATATAGTAGGGACAGATTGTATTTAACTATTACCTCAAAACTCATAAACCTATACAACTGTAATAAATTAAATTGTCGTGCATTTGTGAAAAACTGAAAAATCCTGAAAAATGCTATAATAGTCGGGGTTATGGCCGACTAGAGCATTGAAAAATCCCCTCAAATCTATCCATCATTGGGTATTTCCATGACTTTCCACGACTTTTTGCCTATTTCCATGACCAGAATTTTTTTCCATGACTTTCCCTGACTATCCCTGACTTTCCAGAATGTGGACACCCTGAAAAATCTTCGATTCCAGGGAAAAGAAACCAAACAGACTATTTAACTAAAGCCAAGAAATGAGCTTGACTTCAAAGTCAAGCTCATTTCTACAACAACCACAATACTTCAAGGAATTTGCAGACTAACTTAATTTCCATTTGCCTAATTAGATTTTTGCTAGAATATGTCCTGAAACATTTAGGTTAACGAGTATGTGGATTTGCTACTACAGGGAAGGTAATAAAGTGTCTTAGTGAAATGTTAATCGCTTAGTATTAAATAAATAAATTAGACAAATTTAATCAAAATAGTTCCATAAAAAAGCAAAATACAAAAGTTTACTTATTTTTCATTAGAATACTATAAAGGAATCTTTATTTTATAGCTTTTGGATTTTTTTTATGCAACTACAGAATAACTTGTTTCTTTCTCTCAGTATTAATTTGAGCATAACTAAGGCTAGCAGAGGAAAAAGAAAAATAGCTTCTTAACCATAAAAGAAATGGGTGAGATCAGATCAGATAACATGTTCAAAGACTACTATGGGATGGCAACGATTACAAAGACTGGTTAGCTAGCAAGACTATATTTTACAAACCCTGTTAACCTAGGACTACTGGTGATAGGGTTATTCAATGTATTTTTTTCTAATTGGGAAATCTGATAGCACAGTGCTAAAAAATATGTTTATAGACAACTTACAAACAGATATGTACTGTAACTGAATATGAGCAATTATTTTTTAACCATGATAAAACATTGATACAATATTGGGATAAATCTTTTAAGCATTGATTTGCATTGATTTGGTGTTGTTGAGTTCAATTTCATAACCTCAAGCCTCAAAGATCACTCTGTCTTCCAAAGGCCAACTGACAATTGGAAATGTGATACAGTAGACTCTCGCTCATCCGGACCAATGTGGCAGACGTCCGGTCCAGAATTATGAAAAATCCGAGTATTACTATTACATTTTTAAAGTTTTAATAATTGTAATTAGTTTTATCAAATATAACAGTTTTAAATTAACACACATTAACACACATGTTGTCTATTAGTTTTATAAATATTGACAAAACTCCTATCTATGCACATTGTACTCCAAAAGATGTTATGAGTTAATAAAGAATTTTAATTTGAATTTTGAGCAAATATTGGTAAGTTTTGCCCTTTTGGCGAGCGGTTTTGTCAAAACACTTTAACAGGAGTGTCTCAAACAAGTTAAAACTCATCGTAATAAATTACAGTCGGCTACTGTAGGCCTACTTTATTTTACAATACCACTATTGCACTGTATTAGTAATAATGTAGCATATGGCCTAATATGCCTCCTCCCACTCCCAAAAAGGCATGTGTCATCGCCAATCAATATGATTATTGATTCAGATTTTGCAAAAAACGCCTGAAGACGCAAAATGTATGCCATTAATGTGATGCGGGCTTGCTTGCACAATAAATTAAGTTAGTTACACTTTTTTTTATTTGATAATATGTACTGATAATAAATACTGTGAAGCTAAAAAAAAAATCACGATTGCCGATCCAGATTAGCGGGATCCGGACGAGTGATAGTCTACTGTATGATGTGAATATGGAAATAAAAGGGAAAACAAACAATTTAAAATTACACAAGGAAGTTCAATTAAGCCTTAGCAGTTCATTTTTATCAATAATTTACTTTGAAATAAGCTTACCATAAAAATGTGGTGTGCACGAGCCAACATACCTTTGAACTACGGAAAGAAGATGAACATGTTTCTTTTTATATCAATAGGGCTGATGTGGAAACGGTCCGACTTCTCTTCTACTACAAACTCGTTTACTTCTTGCAAAGATTCTACGGGAGGGTAGAGAGCTACATGTTTTGCCCATTCATCATAACCCAGCTTGTGAACGTATTTGTCGTAGATGGCCTTATCCAATGTGGGTCCTTGATAAATGATATCTAATGCCCCCGACAACCAGATCCATTCTTCGTCTGTCTCTTTAAAAGTCCGTCTTAGCTCTTTCACCTTGTTCACAAGGTTGGTGAGAGATTCATCTTCCCACTCTTCCAGTGCATGAAAGTTCAGTTGTACCAATCTGACGAAAAGCTTGAAGGATTCCAAAGTTCCTAAGTGTAACAGGCAATTGAACCCGAAGATAACTGGACCAGCTAGCAGTTTAAATCTTTCATTTGAGTAAAGATGTTTTCTAAATCTAAAAAACAAAAGACCAACAAGTTTAGCAAAGGAGTAGTAACTGTCTCTGGTGTAATATTTCAACAGTAAGTGTGGGTCGTTACCATCTTCCAGGCCAGTAGCATGTTGAAGATCATCATAGAGATGATTTAGGTTGAAAAACATCTGTCTTTTTATTCTCTCTCCGAATTCAACTGTATTCGATATTAGTGCAAAGTTCCTCGTGGTTAAATCCAGTATGTGGTCACTCCTCATACAAATCGATATCAATGTATCAACGTATGTGATTACATCTTTGCTTTTTTCAAAATATTCTAATGTCGACCAAACAAGGTCTCCTTGTTTAGTACGAGACAAGTCTTCAATATCATTGTACAATCTTTTCCAGGGCAAAATCCTTTCTTCTTCTACACTGGAAAACACTGCGGTACGATCAAGGAATTTTGTTGGATCCACTTTTAAGTTTATAATACCAAAATCACGTCTTCCATGGCCAAAAACTCTAATTGGTCTTGTTGGTGCTCTTTCCACTGGTTTTGGTTTTTCCTTTGTAACCGACACCGATGTAGGTTTATGCCCTAAAGGTTGTCTTCTCAACCCAAATCTTTGACGGCAGCTCATGGTTTGATTCAAGTGATAAAATTGTATTCGAAAAATGTCTTGTTAAATGAGATAACAAGTATTAAATTGCACCTCACATTTCTTGGCGGAAAACGGTGAATTGTTCTATCTGTTTATATTTTCTTCACATTTATCTGTAAAAAACATGGATTCATGTTAGTTTTACCATTTAAATGTAATGTTCTATTTCTGTATTGTATGGATAGTATTTGTACATCTTTAATTTTTAAAGCGGGATAATCTAAGGTTAAGATTTCCTAGGATTTACTGAGTTTGAAAATTGAGATATTCTTCTCGGCCAGGCAATTAGACCAAACCTAACCTTGAAAGGAGAAGGGACAAAGGAAAGAAGAGCCCATAACAGGATTGTCTTTAAGGTGTCTGGTGTGTGCTTGTTCTGTGAGGCATTATGTGACTAAAACTCAGTTCCTTCTGCCTAGCCACTCAGCCACTCTTTCCTATGCCTCCTCACAGTAAGGGACTGATACCAAAATCCCCATGGATTCTTACAATACAATCATTGGTAAAAAAATTGGAACTCGCAGCCACAAAAACAGTGTATTGTTGCAGATGAATTGGTTCAACAAATCATTAGCAAAGTGTCTTTATATGTCACAGTCAAGTATTTCAATGATCTTTTAATGTGGTATGTCTAGATCAGGCAGGGGTCACTAACCTACAGCTTCGATTCCCGGTTTCCAGGTCGGCTGGACACCCTTTTTATCTATAAGTATAGTTCACAACTCTTACTTTCCATTTTTTCAACAAAGATAATTAGCTGTTATTGTCACAGTGATTGACAATAACAAACTACAGTTCCATTATTGGTTGTCTGCGTATATTCTAAATAAAGAAACTTTTCAATTAATGCTAATGATCAGAATAACAAATATTAACCCTTAATGAGCATTATAGGTGAAAAGGTGAATGCAATATTCTCACTAAAAACATGTTGTTCTTTTTAAACTTTGAACTTGATGTTGTCTCGTGTATTGTCAATTTTAATACAGTAAACTAAACTTCCTATAAAGAAACTTTTCAATTAATGCTAATGATCAGAATAACATATATTAACTCTTAATGAGCATTATAGGTGAAAAGGTGAATGCAATATTCTCACTAAAAACATGTTGTTCTTTTTAAACTTTGAACTTGATGTTGTCTCGTGTATTGTCAATTTTAATACAGTAAACTTAACTTCCTATTATATGGTCGGAGGCCAGTCCGGATAGCAGTTATTCCAGGTAAAACCAACGTCCCTTCAACTCGTTAAATTAGGGTGTAATGCATACTATATTTAAGTCTTTAATAATTATAACGTAAAAATAATAAAACTAGACACTTTGGGATAATCACTGTAAAAACAAACACCAAATGTCAATTCTTTGTGGCTTTTAAATCTTTAACTACAGTTAAAGTCTTTCTATCTTACACTACGGTTCGTGACAGTTGCAAAATATTTTCTATTGCATTTCCACATTAAAAATTACAGTAAAGCAAAAGCACACATCAGTATACTGAACAATAGGCGACGTAGTAATATAATGTATTTTGTATCTGTATGAATGTGACTAACGATACATGTGCACATCATGGGAATCACCCAAAAACTAACTAAATATTTTACTTAAATTTGGGAGAGCATTGTATTTAGATCACTGGTCTCTAATCTTTCCCATGAGAAAAGCACCGGCCACTTCCTGCCGATCTAGTTCGGTTAAACCTATGAGGATTAAACATTGATGGGACAGGCCGGAGTTTCGTTGAAACGAGCAAGCACGCTTCCTCCAACGACGCGCCCCCACTGTACCGAGGAGGGGGAGGCAGCGCTACTCTCCCCCCACTCATACTGCATTCTATGGGTTTTGTACCATCCTCATTAATGACATTATAAATAACTTAAGCCGAATAGTGTCGTAAGCCTTGTAAACAGTGCCTCAAAGGAATTCCCCAATCCCGACGAAGAAAATCAAAGAAATCCCGAGTTTGGTTACAGAAATAGCAGTTATTTTAAAATTAGACTTAATTATGCAATGAAAAATTTTAAACATAAATTTGAATCGTAATATTAGAAGCCTAAGTAAGAGGATGATCATGTTTATAAACCATTAGTACATCCAAAGGTGGGTTAATTAAACAAGGATGACTTGTTTTTTACAGTTCATTATCCTTGTTTTTATTATTTACACTACTACTATTGTGCATTATTGATTATACCATTCATAATTAAAAACTCAAATCATTCGTGATATTTTAACATATTTTCTGTAAAAATAAATAAAATAAGATTTAATCCCTTAATTAAGAAAAATTATAGGCCTATGGCCACAGAAGACGAGAAAATGGAAAGTCTACACTTTTTACTCAAAGTTTATTTGATATTTCTTAACTAACAGATCAAATATGGCTCAATATGATATTAATAAAATCAAAAATCGAATGACCAAGAAATTGTTTTTGTTTTTATGTTCGTAATTTAATTGGAACGGCTGTTTGTAATAAAAGTGAGTGCAGCTTTGAATTTTTAACATTGGCTTTTTAAAATCACCTCCACCTGCCTAGCACATAAATGCCTTCATTAAAACTAGCAAGAAATGGTATTTAAAAATCAAGAAATGATGAAACATGCTAATTTTAAATGTATTTTACCATCCAAAATTAAATTTTTCCTTCTAACCTAAATTTAGTGGGGTTGTTTTAAAAACTGTAAAAATAAAAAAAACAAATAGTTGTAATTTTTTTATTCCTATTAGAATATGGATGTACAAAATACTATCTCTTATGGAATACGAATAAATTGTTTATTTGCATTGATATATTTTCTTTTTTCAAAAAGGTAATTAAAGACGAAATTAAATTAAATTAAATAAGTTTATTTAACCCAATTTCATTACAGAAAGATAAATAAACAGAGATCAATATTAACTATGATTAATCTGCCATACTTATAGCTATCATATGTTCAAAGTCCAGAGCATAATAAATAGTTTTTACAGAAAAGAATTAGGTACAACATTCGCTGGGAAATTTAATTTAGCCTACTTTAAGAATGGTGAATGACAGGTGTTTTAGTTTAGCTGCAATTTTAATACGAAATGGTGTGCGTTTTTTTCCCTATCCCTCATGTTATAGCGGCAGCTTTTTGTCAGTCTATGCCACGGCTCCTCGTGGCCCTCTAGTGTTCTGCTAAAGCTGGCTTCACCGCAACATAAATGTCCCTATTCGCGTGCTCTCTCCTTATTGTTAATCCTTTAGGCTTAAAACAATACTGATAAAAATTATCGGGATAGGAGGGAGTCTTCTGTACCGCTATTGCAACCATAAGTTTACTAGAGCCAAGATTTAGTTTTCAATAGGTAGTCCTGTGATTCCTTGGGTCTACTTGGAAACTCCCTTTACAGAACAAATATTATTTAATAACAAATAATGAAATACTGTAATTATTATTTTCGTTATGTTGACTTTTTGAAGTTCCTGTCATGAAGTGTATTTACTTATGTTATGACAAATACATGAATATTATGGTAATTAAAAATTATATATATGTGTAGGCCAATAGTTTTTTTTTGGTCACAGCTCTATTTTCACAAACAATTAAACAATTTTAGTTAGCCAAAAAGTAATATAACTTAAAAGGAAATATGGCAACTGAAAGAAAGGAAGACATCAAAAACCATAACTGAGCTCTTAATTAGAAAAGGACTTCTATGACTGAGTTTACGGGGCAGGCTGGACATGCTGTTGCAAAATATTGATGGCTCGCTGTTCCTTAAAAAATATACTATCTGGCCTCTTGAGTAAAAAAGGTTGGAGACCCCTGCTAGATTATAGTAATGTTTATATGTTATTTTTTCTATTGCAAATGGATTTTTCATGTCCCCATTTTTGCTCTCTCTAATGATGGTTAATTTTTAGAAGCATGGAGGTAAATAGGAACGACTCACCAAGCCTACTAATGTAAGCTATCTATCAGAATCAGGTGCGTGCACAGATGAAATATCCATCCATAGGCACCATCCAAGTACAGCCAAAGCCTATTTACCCAACAATAACTGTAAAAATAGTGTAAATAGTTCTAGTGTTTGTAAAGTAGCCTTTTTAAATGTGCAATGTCTCAGAAGTAAATTTAATTCAATGCAAACAATTTTTTTCTGAGGCCAACCTGATATGCATCCAAGGAATAAGATGTTTACTTACTAACTAAAAACTTCCAACTTACGTCATGGATGCAGAAGCAGTTGAAGGCAAGGTCTAGGAGATAGTGTAGCTGTTTTCACAGACGACAATGGGTAGTTGCAGATCAATGATCCTGAAGTGTCCTTTGTAAATTTCTTTAACCTAGTTAACAATATTTGTTAATGGTTACTTTCCTTTTATCACAGCAAGAAATTTCTCAAATAAATCAGATAATGCAAAACAAGTCAAATTAGATAAGAAAATTAGATTAGAGTTTAAAACAGGAAGATGTTTATAAATATGAAATATGTGAATACCCATTTATAAATACCCTACCACTACCCACTAGGTATTTGTCCGGCCCACATCACTACCCTTGAATAAAATTGGCCAATGACTTTTATTATCCTAACTGAATGAAACTAGAAATAGATCATAGGCTTTTGACGATAATTCCAAAATTTCTGATCCATACCTTATTTAAGGAGTATAATTCAAACAGACTTTATCCGAGTGAATAAAATTCATGGTCAATTCCCCGTTTCCAGGTAGGCTGGACACACTGTTTATATATAAGTATAGTACGGTACCGTACATAACTCATACTTTTGCCACTATGTTCCCAATAAAAGATAATTAGCTTTAATTATACCCCGGGGCGAGCCTCAGCCACCGGGTGGATCGCAAGCTGGCGGATAGCAAACGGCTCTCAGATACAGGGAACCCGAATATGCAGTACCGGTAAGAGGGTGTGGCGGGGGTGACTTGCATGGTTGCACCCATTTATTAAAAACCTTAGAACCCAATGAATAGTATGTTTCATGGTGAATAAGTGCCGCCATCAAATAGGCACTGCCCCGTACTGCCTTGTACGGTTGGAGGTTGGGTCCTTGAAGGCTAGGTCACTCTAAAGTAAAACCAAGGTCATGACAGGATCTTAAGCTGTGGAAAAAGTAAATGGCCTAGGAGAGAATACTCTAAGTAAAATCCTGGTCCTCCAAATTGGGGGTTGGGCGTGAAGCTAACCACTTCACACTGGAAAATTTTTAGGTTCGGAGACCTTGCAACAAATCAGAGCGTAGGTACAATGATGGCGATTCATAATACTCAATTTGAAGCCAGAGTTAAAATAGTCCCTCATTCGGTTCTCCGGGGGGGAAAAGATTAGGAGAAGACATGATGTCAAACAGATGAGGATTTGAGAATTCTTAGAATTGGGAATTGGAGACACAGAGCAAGAAATAGATAAGATTGGAGATAAATCGTGGGCTGTAGCACCAGCTAGCGTAAGGTAAGGTAAGCTGTATATTTATGTAGCCTAATGATTGGTTATCTAAAATAAATACATATGTCCTTGGATATAGAAACTTTTTTTAATTAATGCTGAAGACCAAAGCTACAAATGTCATCCATTTACAGCTTTAACAGGTGAAATAACTAATGCAATATACTCACTAAAAACATATTGTTCTTTTTAAACTTTTAATTTGATGTTTTCTAATGTATCGTCAATTTTAATACAGTAAACTCCCTCTTACATGGACTAACAATGAAAGCTATCTATCAGTATCAGGCGTTAGAATAGATGGAATATCCATCCATAGGCACCATTCAAGTAGAGCCAAAGCGTATTTACTAAAGGTATATATTACCAAAGGTATTAAATAGTGTAAATAGTTCCAGTGTTTGTAAAGTAGCCTTTTAGCAAATTTCCTATATAGGGAATAAGCTATTACCGTAGTACTCATGGTAAGTGGTAAGACCTGGACCCGGGACCGATTTACTTTTTCGTTCTGAGGTCCCTAGAGGCCAAAAACACCATCCGTTCAAATTCATATACAGGGTGATCAACTCAAGGAGGCCACCATTGGGATATCGGAAACGGTAAGAATTAGAGAAAACTTTAAATGGGGCACATTCCTTTATTTTTTGATGCAGTTAAAAATATAATTTTATTTTTTCGAAATTCAGCCGCCATTTTCCAAAATGGCGGCCAACTTGGAAATTTCTTATGGAACACCCTATATTTTATCATGTTCTATGATAGAACAGACAATTTAAAAACTTTTTTATTCTTGACATTTTTTCGATAAACCCACTCGTTTAGGAGTTACAGCCTATGGAAAAATGACTTCCGGTGTACATTTTACATAATGTAGCTCCTAAACAAGTAGGTTTATAGCGAAAATTCGAAAAGTAAATAAGTCAAATAAGTCTTAAAATTGCATCCACATTCCAAAAAGACCATAAAATTCGTTAAAACTATTAATTCTATTATTTTAAAAATGGCGGCCATTTTCCAAAATGGCGGCAAACTTGAAAAGTGGAAAACTGTGTATTTTATGGTCTTTATGGAATGTGGATGCAATATTAAGACTTCTTTGACTTATTCACTCATCGCATTTTCGCTATAAACCTACTTGTTTAGGAGCTACATGATGTAAAATGTACACCGGAAGTCATTTTTCCATAGGCTGTAACTCCTAAACGAGTGGGTTTATCGAAAAAATGTCAAGAATAAAAAAGTTTTTAAATTGTCTGTTCTATCATAGAACATGATAAAATATAGGGTGTTCCATAAGAAATTTCAAAGTTGGCCGCCATTTTGGAAAATGGCGGCTGAATTTCGAAAAAATAAAATTATATTTTTAACTGCATCAAAAAATAAAGGAATGTGCCCCATTTAAAGTTTTCTCTAATTCTTACCGTTTTCGATATCCCAATGGTGGCCTCCTTGAGTTGATCACCCTGTATACAGGGTGTCCCGTAACTCTCTGGACATACGTATATAGGTCATATAGGTCATATAGGTATATAGGACATACGTATTATTCCTTAGGTCAAGAAAAAAACACATTTCACCATAGGAACATGGGTCTGTGGTGTCTAGTTTACCGACTGTCGGTATTTATGTGTTTTTTACAAAAACATTAATAACTCCTAAACGGTTTGAGATACAGCTTTGATATTTTGCAAAAATGTTTATCTTATTAAGACCTTTTATCGTTAGAAATTATACTAAAAAATCATTACCCGTTTCAAAATGGCGGCCATTTAAAATATTTTATGCCAAATTTCACGAAAACCGTTAACTTTACAAAAAAAGTGCAAGTTACAAAAAAGTTTGTAAATTATATGTAGTTTCCAATGATACCTTATTTGTTAAGATTGGATACATAATAACAGAGAAATGTCTTCTTTTCCAAATGCCTGACCACTTTTCTCCATTTAAACAATGCTAATACTCCTTTTACGTTGTTTAGCATTGTTTAAATGGAAAAAAGTGGTCATACATTACGAAAACAACTATTTTCTCTGTTATTATTTATTCAATCTTAACAACTAAGGTATCATTGGAAACTACATAAAATTTACAAACTTTTTTGTCTCTTGCACTTTTTTTTTAAGTTAACGGTTTTCGTGAAATTTGGCATCAAACGTTTTAAATGGCCGCCATTTTGAAACGGTTAATGATTTTTTAGTATAATTTCTAACGATAAAAGGTCTTAATAAGATAAACATTTTTGTAAAATATCAAAGCTGTATCTCAAACCGCTTAGGAGTTATTAGTTTTTTTGTAAAAAACACATAAATACCGACAGTCGGTAAACTAGACCCCACAGACCCATGTTCCTATGGTGAAATGTGTTTGTCTTGACCTAAGGAATAACGCTATATACATATGTCCAGAGAGTTACGGGACACCCTGTATATATGTACATATATATATATATGTACACATATATATATATATGTCCGTTAGCATGATATCTCGAGCAAAAATTATCCGATTTTGATGAAATTTAGTATAAACCTACATTTATTTGAAGGAGTTTGTGAACCAGCATGATCGGAATAAGGGAACGGGGGTTTTTGGGGGGTTTTCCCATTTTTGACCCTGAAAACACAAAATTTCACAATTTCTTTCCAAACCATTTTGTAGAGCTTAAAAAATAATTCAGTATAGCTTACTGAAGCGTTATTGTGTGCCTAATGGTTACGGAGAAAATGCCAAAAATTGTAAATTTAAAATTCTCATGTTATTCTTATGGAGAATAAGTCAACTGTTCATTTCTTACTAAACTATTAAAATTTTACAACAAAAAACACTTTTTTACCCTCCTTGTTGCAGCAACCCTAACCCTTTCAGACCCGGGAATCTTAGTCATCTCGACCGCTTTAAGTCCTGAGCAAATTTTGAATAAATGTTGGTTTTTAACCTAAATTTCAAATACTAAAATTATTGATTAGGTTTGTTTTTAAGACGAAACCTTCATAATACCATATTAAGCATTTCAGTTACAGCAATAATTAGCATTATATACGTTTAAAAACATATATAAAACAGTCATTAACCCAAACAGTTGCCTCTTTCTCCTATCTTACCGTGACATTGCAACAAAACAATCAGTATTACCACAAGACATGAAGACAGACTGCAAAACAAAAATTCCCAGCTGATCTCCATAACCTGCACAATCGATGCGTACAGGTCTGAGCAACAGAAAGATCCAGAAACTTCAAAAAAATAAATAAACATCTAAACCTACACAATCGTGTTGGTTAGGTTGTCAGGACTTAAAAATTTACCTACAAAAATGACTGTGCTGGGCCTGAAAGGGCTAAGTACTCGTTAAACTAATTCTATTTAAATAGGGAATAAATGTGATATGTTTAAGGAGGCACTTTAGTGTAGATACAATCAGGCAAATGGAAATTCGCTCAGCTGCAGGTTTGCTGTGGCGGGGGTATTTAAATGTGCAATGTATGAGAACTAAATTTAATTTAGTGGGGGAGCGAGCTGGTCTAGTGGTTAGAGCGCGGGGTTTCAGTAAGTGATAAGCCGCAACCCCTAGGTTTAGCCTGAAGTAGTTTGCAAAACAATCCCGGACTCGCGCCTAGCGTCTTAGGACAAAAAAAGTAGCCCTACCAATCTTTTGTTCTGGTCTGATGTTAACCTAAATTAGGGTTGCCATATGGTAATATGTAAAAAAGAGGAGGTTTTAGCTAGCGTCCCCCCACTACAGTGGATATAAATTTACGGGCTAGCAAAATTGTATATTAGCCTATACATAGCACAAATATTATATAACAGTAACGGTATGGGTCATACCCATCGATGTATAATAACTCCCTGGATTGCGCGCTGAGAATGAAGTAGG